TTTATATCAGCTCTTCATTTAATTTACATGAGCTCTTTCCTGAGAGACAGATACACACATTTATGTGTATGCGTTGTGGATGTAATAATCTTTTATCTCTCTAAAAACATTAAATATAATTTTATTTTAGAGTTTCTTGAGCTTCGTTTATTGCCCCTGTTTGCTCAGCCTCACTTTTCTGTTTGCTGGGTGGTTTTATTTGAACTCTGTCTTTTATGTTATCTCCTCACACATCTGGTGAGTATTGGCTGTTCCTTCATATTTAAGGGTGTGACTCCAAAAGAGGATGAGCTTCCAATCACTCATTGCTATTACCCAGACTGGAGTGCAGTGGCATGATCATGGCTCACTGCAGCCTTGACCTCCTGGGCTCAAGCAATCCTCCCACCTTAGCATTCTGAATAGCCAGGACTACTGGCACACACCACCATGCCCAGCAATTTTTTTTTTTTATTTTTTATTTTTCTGTAGATATGGTGTTTCTCCATGTTGTGAAAAGAATGTGTGTTGGGAAGCTCATCCTGTGAGCACAGGATGGTGACCCTTGTTGAGTGTTAGGCCTCACCGTGCATGATTAGGCGGACCTGGCTGTTTCACTGGGGACCTCAAATTGCTAGACCTCTATGTCTCTTCTCCTGGGCTAGGTCTTCTGCTGGACTGGGGACAGCCACCTAGCTGCATGGGTTAGGGAAGGCAATTGTGGGGTATGGCAGCTCGTTGTGCAAATTTCTACAAATCTTTTTTTTTTCATGAGACGGTGGCTTGCTCTGTGGACCAGGCTGGAGTGTAGTGGCGCCATCTCTGCTCACTGCAAGCTCCGCCTCCCAGGTTCACGCCATTCTCCTGCTTCAGCCTCCCAAGTAGCTGGGACTACAGGCGCCCGCCACCACACCTGGCTAATTTTTTGTATTTTTTAGTAGAGATGGGGTTTCACCGTGTTAGCCAGGATGGTCTCAATCTGCTGACCTTGTAATCCGCCCGCCTCGGCCTCCCAAAGTGCTGGGATTACAGGCGTGAGCCACCGTGCCCGGCCCAAATCTCCATTTTTAACCCTACTCCACAGTTCTTCCCTCAGAGAGACTGATCCCTTCAATTCTTGACCTTTTCCAAGATCTGTGGAAAACTTTTTAAAATCATTGCTTGACTCGTAATTTTATTGAGGTGAATCACAGTGGTGGATTTGGAGCTGCTAATGTGTTTTTTTTTGTTTGTTTGTATGTTTGTTTTGGTTTTACCCAATTACATTTCTTTATTCTGAAATGTCATTTAAAAAGACCAGACCATAATATTTCCACATGAACAGATATTTTTCTGGAATAGGCCTAAAAGTATTGGGAAGGTGGGATTGTCAGCATTAGAACACATGGGAAATCAGGACCCCGGAAGAACTGTAATATTCTCTAGGACTTTTCATTTTCTAAATTTGCAGAGATACTGCCTGTGATTTCAGTTGAAAGTGATCCAAATCCTAGTATGTCCATATTAATTGTGTGTGTGTGTGTGTGTGTGTGTGTGTGTGTGTATGTAGCTTCAAATGTTATTTAACATTTCTTAAGTGGAATTTTTCTAATGTTCTTTTCCTTTTTCTTTTTCTTTTTTTTTTTTTTTGAGACGGAGTCTCACTCTGGCCCAGGCTGGAGTGCCTATTAGACACTTGTATATTGTATATTATAGAAGTATAGTGTTCTTATTGTAACAACTTAAATAATACTAAAATGGATAAAGAAAAAGTCAATCTCCTGGTAGTACCCCTCCATTCTTAACCCCTGAAGCAATTTGCATTAACTGACAGTTGTGTAACTTTCTGATACCTTTTTCACTGTCATACTAACATCTCCAAAGATGTTTGTTTCTGAAAATATTAGAGGATTCATATTCTATACATTCTGTGGCTTGCTTTAATCACTCAATATGTTATAAACATCCCTTCAAGTTAATGGAAATACTACTGTTTGTTTTGTTTTGTTTGAGACCGAGTCTGCGCTGTTACCCAAGCTGGAGTGCAGTGTCACGATCTCGGCTCACTACAACCTCCGTCTCCTGAGCTTCAAGTGATTCTCTGCCCTCAACCTCCCAGTAGCTGGGATTACAGGCACTCACCACCATGCCTGACTAATTTTTGTATTTTTAGTAGAGACAAGGTTTCACTATGTTGGCCAGGCTGGTCTTGGACTCCTTGGCCTCAAGTTATCCACCTGCCTCAGCTTCCCAAAGTGCTGGGATTACAGGCATGAGCCACCGCGCCTGGCCCTAACTCATTTTTTTAAATAACTAAATACTGTATAATCACTGCCTGTGATTTCAGTTGAAAGTGATCTAAATCCTAGCATGTCCATGTTAATTGTGTGTGTGTGTGTGTGTGTGTGTGTGTGTACCTTCACTTGTTATTAACATTTCTTAATCTCTCAGATAGGATTTTTCTAATGTTCTTTTCATTTTTATTAGACATTTATACATTATCAAAGTACATTTATATATTATCAAAATATTCTTATCGTAACAACTTAAATAATACTAAAATGGATGAAGGAAAAGTCAGTCTCCTGGTAGTACCCCTCCATTCTTAACCTCTGAAGTAACTTGTGTTAAGTGACAGTTATGTATCTTACACAACATACTGTTTGAATGTTCCTTCCAATTTTGGGGGATTTTTTTGGGGAGGTCTTTTTGCTGCTGTTGTTCGTTTTTTACTATTCCAAAAGTTTTTCAATAAATATTCTTTTACAGATTGAATGTCGCTTATCCAAAATACTTGGGATCAGAAGTCTTGGGGATTTCTGATTTTCAGATTAGGGATGCTCAACCTGTGTATATCTCCTTACCCAATTTTGTTTCTCTTTTGCCATCTCAAATCTTGCAATTCAAGTTTTGATTCATGTGTCATTTGTTTAGAATACTACCTCTAGGATTTCCCTTCAGTAAGATGCATGGTGGTTTACTCTGTGAGACCTCACCTGGCCAAAAATGTGTTCACTCAGCTCCCAGATAGGTCCAGCTATGAGAGCCTCTTAAGCAGTGTCATACCAGGTAGTGATGCATCCATCACTGGGCAAAGCCCAGCAGCTCTTCCCCTTAGGGGCTGGGCATCACACAAGCTACAAGACTCTCGGCTCTCTGCTTGTCGTCTTTGTGGCTGCATGTAGCAGTCCTTTCCCAGCTGCAGTGCCTGGGAGCAGTTTCACTGCAACCCCTGTATATGCAGATCCATTGTCTTCCACTGTCTGGGTTCCTCAGGAAGTAATGAAGCCCTAGGTCTTTGCCTCAAGAAAGATTTTTGCCTTGAAGAAAAATCTAAGCTTCCCTGCTGTCAGTTCCCTGGTTCTCTCTTCACTTGAGAGAGTATAGCCTTCCACCTGGCTTTCTTCCCTGGAGATCTCAAGGGAACTTGGGGCCTCAGATGGACCCTCCCCAGTGTGTCTGCTTTTGTTCTTGTGCTACTCTATGGAGGAAATGGGCCAAAGGTCAAGTCAGGAACTTATACTCTCACCATCATCTTCCCCAAATCTCAATCTCTTGATTTTTTAAAAAAAAATTTTCAAAATTGCTCAATAGCATTTCATTTTCTGTTGCTATTTATAATGTCAACATGCAAAGCACTCTCTGCGTGTTACATATCAAAGTGGATACTGACCCTGCCCTCTATGACTAATGTCCAGAGAGATAAGACTATGGGAAATGAATAATCCTGGAAGTGATAGCAAAATGATATTAACTTAGGGCCAGGCTTGGTGGCTTACACCTATAACTCCAGCACTTTGGTAGGCGGAGGTAGGAGGATAGCTTGAGCCCAGGAGTTTTGAGACCAGTGTGGGCAACATAGGGAGACCCTATCTCTACAGATAATTTAAAAAAAAAAAAAAAAAAAAAATTAGCCAGCCATGATGGCACATGCCTGTAGTCCCAGCTACTCAGGAGGCTGAGGTGGGAGGATTGCTTGAGCCCAGGAAGTCAAGGCTGCAGTAGCCACAATCACACCACTGGGCTCCAGTCTAGGTGACAGAGCAGGACCCTGTCTGCCCCCCGCCACCCCCAAAAAGGATATTAACTCAAGTATCTTTTAAACAGCACATCAAGATAGTCACATGGAAGAGACTGTGTTCTACAAAAATGACTTTTTCTTTTCTCTTAATCTTTTCTTTTTTTTGAGACAGGGTCTTGCTCCGTTATTCAGGCTAGAGTGCCGTGGCTCCATCACAGCTTGCTCTAGCCTCCCCCTCCTGGGCTCAATTGATCCTCTTACCTCAGCCTCCCGAGTAGCTGGGACTACAGGCACACACCACCATGTCTAGCTAATTTTTGTATTTTGGTAGAGATGGGATTTCACCACATTGCCCAGGATGGTCTCGAACTTTTGGGCTCAAGTGATCCTCCCACCTCGCTCTCCCAAAGTGCTGGGATTACAGACATGAGCCACCACACCCAGCTGTTTTAGCCACGTTTAATGAATCTGTGACCTTTGTCAGCCATCTTGGAAACTCAGCATAATGTTGCATGCATGCCTAGTTGGTTCTCAAGTAGAATTTTGGAACCTAATCTCTTCATAAATTAAGGGCTGGTTGTATATGCATATTTTATGATATTTTATATTTCTTTTCTATTTTTATAATTCCCTTTCAACAGTTTTTCCTGATTAAAGATATTTTAGTAGCTGGTCTCTTTTTAAATTCTTTTTAAACTTTTTAAAGTTTTTAAACTTTAAATTTTAAGAAGCGTTTGTAATATGTGATTTGTCTGTTTATGTCTTATCTTGTTTGTTATTTTGAAGCAAACATAGGAAGTGGCCTACTGCCTTGTATAAAAAGATACCAGAAGAGTGGAGTCATTTGGAAAAAGCACAGTGGGAAAGTGGCTTGGGAAGTGATTTTTTTCCCCTTATTTTCTGGCACAGTGCTTTCTAAGATGATGTTGTTCACTGTAGTTTTCTTTCACTTTTAAGGGCATGATGGTTCCAGGCAGGATAATCTTAAATGGTCATTTGTCATCTCTTTTTCCCCTTGCAGCATTGCTATGGCAACAAAAGAAAATATGACTTCACAGAGAGGAATGTTGAAGTCAATTCACAGCAAAATGAACACTTTGGCCAGTATCCTTTTTAAATGTTCGCAGTTTCTGTGTTTTGAGGGTAGAGGGGAGAAGTGTCTGTGTGTGCTTTTTATAGGGGGCAGGTTGCCATCACTCAGTAGCAGTAGAGCCTATCAGTAATTGCATAATATGAATATACTGTGCATTCCTACTTTGTGAAAGTTTATGCTCTTTAGTACTGTTCCTAAAAGACTGCACCTCAGAAGTTTCTTACTACTAGATGTAGAAGAAAAAAATTATAAATGTGAATTTAAAAATTATAAATGTGAATTTAAAAATTATTCACCAAATTCTTTCACATTTTAGAAAGCTTTTAAATTCATGTTAGAACTCCACAGTATACATTATTCTTACCTAAACATGATAAATTATATGCCTTTTCTTTGTTATTTTTCCCATTTAGAGATAAGTCAGTGGCAGATGCTTGGAACGGGGAAGGAAGGAGACAGCCACCCGTGCAGATGAGCTGTAGCTACTGACAGAGTTTATACAGGCTGAATTCTGGGATACATTCTCCACTTGTTTGTTGTAACCTCTACTTTAACATGTTTCAGTTTTCCATTTTAAATAGGATTATTACTGCTTCCCAGAAACCCACTAGGGAACCAGAAAAGCCTGACACTCTGAGTCATTTGATTCAGCGAACCTCTGAAAAGACAAGCCTTCTAGGCAAAAAAAGCTTTCCTTCCCAACTGCCAAAGGGGAAGGTACCTAGAATTTTCAAAAGCTGAGTATCTTGTAGTCCTAGATAATTTAAGGTCACTTTTAGTTTGATATGTCTTTGCCTAAGGAAAAGACTATCCTGATGTGTGCCGTTATTCTCCAGTCTGCTGTGAATTTTGTTCTTCCCTTGTCACCCTGAGTATAAAACCACATGTCCAAAATCACATTTTAGATAGGGCTATAAAATTTACAGAGTGCTGTTATAGACATTATCTCATTCTACTAAACTGTGAACTCGATTGCCAGCCAGAGCAAAAGCTAATTAGTGAATATAAGAGTTTGTATTTAGTGAAACTTTTGAAACTTTGGAATAGAAGTGTGAGTCAGATAGCTGGTGATTTAAAACACTAAAGCCTTTCTCAATTGTTCATTAGAATTTACCACCAGTCTTCTTTGTGACCTCTTCTCTGCTACTCTGTACGCATCTCTCCCATAAGTTCTTTCTCTCTTTTTTTTTTTTTTTTTGAGACAGAGTCTCACCCTGTTACCCATCCAGGCTGAGTACAGTGGCACGATCTCAGCTCACTGCGACCGCCAATCTCCCAGGTTCATGCAATCCTCCTGCCTCAGCCTTCCGAGTAGCTGGGACTACAGACGTGTGCCACCACGCCTGGCTAATTTTTGTATATTTTATAGGGACGGGGTTTTACCATGTTGCCCAGGTGAGTCTCAAACTCCTAGGCTCAAGCAATCGTTCAGCCTCGGCCTCCCAAAGTGCTGGGATTATAGGTGTGAGCCACCTTGCCCAGCCCAACACTAAGTTCTCTTAAGACAAAGTAGTATACCGGAACCTAGCATAGCACCTCATACAAATTAGTCACACAGGAATTTCACAGTTATTCCAAAAGAGTGTGTGTTTAGAAAAAAAAAAAAAATCAAACAAAATGGGTGTGGGTTAGTCAGGGCTGAAGTTTAGTTCACTTTCCTCCTGTATCTGCCTTCTGCTGCGAAGTAACTTTGAAAATGTTAATAATTCACCAGTGTCTGATTATATAGACCCTAGGGTTGGTTCCCACGAATTGCCTGAATCCAAGGCAGGAAAGGATCAGGTATCTTCAAACACTCAGGCAGAACTCCCCAGTCTCCTAAGAGAAGAGGAAAAAAGAGACAGAGAATGAAAATGAGGAAAGGGAGGGAAATGGACGGTGGTGGCGATGGGAGCTGGCTCTAACTGTGCCTCCCTGCCAGAGCTCCTCCATTCCTGGCCACGCTGGCTCCCACCCAGTCCTGCAGCCTGGCAGTAAACCCTCAGTGCTTGGGAACTGTTATCATCCTTTTCTTCTCCCTCTCTGTTATTATTCTTATTTGTGTTACACACAAGACTGGGAGATATGTATTGATTAGGGGCCTTGAGCCGCAGCACATTCCCAGTTTGGGCAAGTGCATCTGCTAAAGATTCCCTTGGTATGAGTTTCTTCCCCTATGCCTTTCATCACTGTTTCTAGACACTGCTGATCTCTATTTTTGTGATTCCTGCGACTTTTGCCGGAGAGGCTTCTTCCAAATATGACCTTAATAAAGATTTCCCAAAGATCGTTTTCCTGCTGTAAACAGCCTGATCCAGAGGATCAACCTGAGGAAGCGGCGGGACTCGCTCATCCTAGGGGGTGTTATTGGGATCTGTACCATCCTGTTGCTGCTGTATGCGTTCCATTGATGGGACATCTGCAGGGACTCTTGACAACCACCACTTTCACGCCCTGGTCTGGAATAAGGAAACGTCTGAGGGAGAAGTTGACTGTCTTGATAATTAGCCTGACCAGCAGGATGAATGCAAGGCTGACAGTGATGGACTCTGTGACATGGTCAGGTTGAGCTGAAGCCACAGTTTTTCTGTGCTGTCTTTTCTAACACATTTTTCTGTTTTTAATTAAAAAACACCAAAAAGGTTTTCAGTTGCTTTTGTCTCCTAGGAGGCAAGTAAACCAATCAAAAACAGAGTTTTCTGTGTTTCCGTGATAGTGTTGAAGCCTGATGACAAGCCGAGTCTTACAGCTGGGCTCTTTAGAAAACCAGGTTTCTACATCCAAAGACTGCTTTTCTTTTAGCCACCAGATTGGATTGTGAATAAAAATAATTCTTGTCCTCTTATTTTACACTCATAATGAGAAATCGCAAGTTCTTTCTCGATAATCTGTGCTATAGATTTCTACTCTGTCTCCTCAACTCTGTTGATATTTAAGGAAAATTCTGTTTTTCATAGATTCTTTGAGATGCTGTTGGACCAACTTCAGCACGTTTGAGGTTGTCTGAAATGGAGATCACTGTAAAACTGTCTTTTTTTTTCTTTTAAATTACAAGTACACTGGGGTTAATTGTATTGCTGGAAAAACATCAAGAATGACAGTCTCGTATTTAAGGCACCAGTCATTGTTTCCATTTTTAAAAAATTCTTCCCTTGGATTAATATTTTCTACTGAAAAGAAGTGAAATCTCAGTTCCACTAGGATAAAAGAAACGAATCGCCAGCGTCCGTCAGTGCCCCCACTGCTCCTCATCATACCAGCAGTGACACTGGTAACTGAGGAAGGGAACTGCTCAGTTTCTAATGTGATCTATTCAAAAAGCCACATATAAAAAGGCATTGAGGGCTCACTGTCCAGAGAATTCCATTTGTAAATGCTCCACAATGTATGGGCAAAAGTTTAAGGACTACTGCCTGATGTACCAGGAGTCCCGTGTTCTGTGAAAATCTGTTCATTCCAAATCTGGTAAGCATTTCCCAACATCTGGAGAATGGTTTCACTGTTGAGGGTGCATGTGGCAGAATCTGTCTCTGCACCTGTGTTCTGTTACCATCCCTGGACAGTGACAGATTTTAAACCAGCCACCAGAATTATTTTTGAGTTAACCATTTCTTAGTTTCTGTATTCATGACTTGTCTTACTGAACTACAGCCTGGTTTGTAGACTTCCAGCATCTACACTGCTGCTCTTCACCATTGGAATTCACTGTGGTATTCATAGTATTGGCTTCAGTCCGAGCCACAGGGAATAAAAGGATATCAGCATGTAGTTCTCAGCTACATCATGGTATATAGATGCTGTTATTCAGGTGAACTTGCTCATGGGTGGACTAACACCTGGTTTGGTACAGAGACTGAGAAGTTTTTCATTTTGGTGTCAAAGTTTTGTTACATTATGGGTGTGAAGGGCATTTGATATATTTTTCTTAACTATGGGGTTTATTTTTCTAAATATGGGTTGATTGACTGTTCATCGATTCAGGGTACCCTTAAAAGAAAAGTTTTCCCATTGTGAACCTTAAAGGATCAGGGAAGTAAGTTCATGGATTAAATTCTCTGTTGGGAGAACAAAACTTTTCTCCCCTGACACTTTATTATCTTTGATTTTTCAAAGGGCCTTGATTGGTGGTTGTGTCTCGGTTAGAATTTATGGGGCTTTGCTATGTAGTTGACATTTATAAAATCTGAAGTATCATAAATAAAGTTATTTATTTAATTATACTACCAGTCTTTTTTACTGGTCTGATTCTTTGTTGCATTCATTAAAGCTGATTGTGTGAGAGTGAACTGGGACACAAGCTAGTCTAGCTCACTGCAGCCAAGCAAACAAACCAGGTTGATGGCTGATGGGCCTTTCCATTAGGGTTTTGCTTATGTGAAGTAATGGAATTAAGTTGGTTATTTTCTTTTTAAAAATAAACCGGTTCTTCCAAGGAAGTTAAAGGCTTGGTGTAGATGTTGGTGTCAGATAGGTCTGACTAACCTCCCCATGCAGCAGCCCATAGTGAGATGACCAAGGGCCACATGTAGACAGCTAGGCCAGTGCTTTTTCCTCTTAGGGTTTCTTTGCAGAAAGAAACCTCCAGCAAGGGAAGAGAGGTGTGTGTCCACAGGAAGGGGCTCCATGTGGATCCCATGAAGGGATTTGAGCTCTTTTAGCTCCATGTCATTTAACTTTTTTGTTGAACCACCTTGGCTTTCTCTCCTTTTTTGCTGTCCTCCTGATGGACCAGTTGCCAGATTCAGAGGCTAACAGTTAGTTACTTGTTAATGCTAGTCTCAGCCAGGAGGTCAGAAGGAATTTTTTACTTCTGGATCCATATGTTGCCTCTTAGGGGAAGTTATGCCCCTTCAACTATTGTCTTACTATAATGAATCTTTCCTTTTTGATCCTTTTAAGTAACCACTCAAAACTTTTCATTTCACTGAAAAAATAGGAAAAACCATGACAATAGGGCTGGGTGCAGTGACTCACGCCTGTAATCTTAGCACTTCGGGAGGCCAAGGCAGGCGGATCGTTTGAGGCCAGGAGTTTGAGACCAGCCTGGTCAACATAGCAAGACTCTGTCTCTACAAAAAAAATTAAAAGATTAGCCTGGCATGATGGGGAGTGCCTGTGTCCTAGCTCACAGCTACTGAGGCTGAGGCCAGAGGATCACTTGAGCCCAGGAGTTCAAGCCTTCAGTGAGCCATGATTGCACCACTGCACTGCAGCCTGGATGACAGAGTAAGACCCTGTTTCAAAAAAAAAAAAAAAGAAAAGAAAAGAAAAAAGACATGGCAATGAAAAGGCAGGAAATTCCAAAAGACGTATTTCTGACATTTTGTTTTAATGTGTACTGATGACTCTAGTAAAAATGTTTAATGAATTCACCACTCAAGTTCAAACTCAGATCCAAGTGCTTTAGCTCATCTATCCTGGCAATCTCTACATTCTTGTCAATTCTTATTAATGATGCTGGAGGACTCCCTGTAATCTGCATTGCTCACCTTTTCTCTCTCTCATTTTAGAAAGGGGCTTTCCTTCTCTATGATTCCCCTGTCTTTTTCTGTACTGCCTGGTACTCAGATCAGGCATGAAAGAAAATGGAGACAGGTGATGAGAGGAGATACCATGAGGGCAAAATCCTTATACCCGGAACCAAATAATACTTTAGCTCTTTCATACTGAGTGTGAATACATCCGAATAGTAAAAGATACTGAGCCTTTCGATGCAGTGGCTCTTGTCCTCTATGGAATTCAGGCACCTTGGGTTTGCATTCCCACTATTAATTTTCTGTTTCACTGTTAGTGATCTCAACCTGATGAAAATGACTTTAAAGAACTGGACTAGCCTTTTGGTTTCTGATACCTCATTTGATCATTTGTCAGGTACGATTTTGGAAATGGATTGAGTTTTCTAACTTGGAAGATTTAAGTTGTTGGGAATAACTGGCCATGTCTAGTGTTACAGTGAATTTTATGGCAAATGTAACTAAAGAACAAATGGATTCTGCTCAGAAAGTTAGAATCATTGTGTTCCACTCTCCTGTTAGGTTAAGGGTTGTTTACCCTGGTCTCCAAAAAGATGCAGAACTTTTCATCACGGTCTTAATAAACTAATCTTGTTTCTTCCTTTAAAACCTGCGTACTCTTAGGTTTTGTAGGCAAAAAGAAACTGAGGAGGAGCAAGTAAATTTTGAGGAGTTTAGTGGATAAGAAGCCCAAAGCTGAACCATGCATGTCTTGAGGATCTTTCTCGTTTTCTCTGTACCTGAGAGCTCACTTTAATATCAAGTGTTTGCATCCATTCCCACCCTGTTAGCTCTTAAGGAGGAGGAAAATCAATTCCAACTAGACTTTCCTGTGATGGAAGATGTTTCCTCTTGAAAAAATGCCAATACAGATTTTTAAAACCTATTATTTTCCAAATGCACTTTGTAAGTTTTTGCTTTTAAAATAGCTTCTTGGAACCAATTTTATTGTATTTGTACTTAATTTTTGTTCTCATCTAAATGTGCATTTTCTGACTGTATAGAAGAAGCTTTGGTATGTAATTTAATAATAAATTAGAAATCTAAATGATTGCATTTGTGGTTGTTTATATTGAAACAGTAACCATCAAGGTAGTTTGGGGATAGAGATTATGATATCTTTGGTGTTGATAAGTGTTTCTCATGATTCCTGAAACCCAGGATGAATAATACAGGTGCTGAAAAGCTGTCACGTGTCATTCAGAAACCATCATATGAACAGTCCACTAGTATTTTAGCCCTAGAAGTGAAGGGGAATCTCTTATCAACTTGAAACTTCAGGAGGCATGACGGGAATCTAAAATTGTAGAATTTGGCGGGTGCAGTGGCTCACACCTGTAATCCCAGCAGTTGAGAGGCCGAGGCAGGAGGATTGCTTGAGACCAGGAGTTCAAGACCAGCCTGGGCAACATAGCAAAGAACTTGTCTCTACAAAAACTAAAATTAGCCATTCATGGTGGTGTGCACCTATAGTCCCAGCTACTCGGGAGGCTGAGGTGGGAGATCATGAGCCCAGGAGGTGAAGGCTGCAGTAAGCAATGATTGTGCCACTGTACTCCAGCCTGGGTGACAGAGACCCTGTCTCAAAAATAAATTAATTTTTAAAAAATAGTATACTGCTGGGCTTTAGTACATTAGTTGTGCAACCAGCACCACTGTCTAATTTTAGAACTTTGCGATTAATCCAGCCAGTGTGTCAATTCCTCCTCTATAAAATGGTGATAAGGATGGCTACCATAATTGTACCCTGATTATATGTCAGGGTTATGTGAGGAAATGCTCATAAGCATCTCAGCAAAGCCAGGGGTGCAGGACTGACCTGACATAAGAGAGATCTTTGGGTTTGTCCTAATAGTGAGAAACCGGGCCTCTTTAGCCTCTTTCGTTCCCTCTTGCTGATGTGGTAGAGGAGAACATTCAAGAGGTGATCAGCAGACATCCTTACCTTTGATAAAGGCAACTAAGAGGGGAAATGTAAGTTAGGTTCTCTGTAGATAGACAGATGGAACCCAGCAATCAGTTTAACCAGCCTCCAAGCGGCTCTGATTAACACCAAAGGTGGAGAACCACTACTCTTGAGTGTCACGCCCTACAGGTACACACATTCTATTTAGTCATTCCATTCTAGACCGATTGCTTTATTTTTAGTTGGGAACTGTTACAAATTGTGCTGCTCTGGACATTCTCAAACATGGGTTTTGGACACACATGTACACTTTTCTGTTGATTATACCTAGGAATAAGATTGTTGGATTGTAGGTGATGCACATACTCAGTTTTAAGATACGTTGTCAAGACAGTTTTCCAAAGCAATTGTGCCAATGCCTATGCCTACCAGGAATGTGTGAATATTCCATTTCCTTCACATCCTCAGCAACACTTAATGATGCCAGTCGAAATTTGCATTTCCCTGATGGCTAATGAAGTTGGGCATTTTTACATACTCACTAGCTATTAGGATATCTTTCTTTATGTAATATCCCTTCAGATGTTTGCATATTGATTAATCGGACTGTCTTTTTCCAGTTAATTTTTCCTTTGTTGGATAAATACGTTGCAAATATACCATCCCATTCTGTGACTTGTCGTTTACTTTCTTTCCTCTTTTTTTTTTTTTTTTTTTTGAGACAGAGTCTCACTCTATCACCCAGGCTGGAGTACAGTGGTGTGATCTCGGCTCACTGCAACCTCCGCCTCCCGAATTCAAGCAATTTTTCCTGCTTCAGCCTCCCCAGTAGCTGGGATTACAGGCGTGTGCCACCTCGTCCAGCTAATTTTTTTGTGTTTTCAGCAGAGATTGGTTTTCACCATGTTGGCCAGGCTGGTTTCGAACTCCTGACCTCAAATGATCCGCCTGCCTCAGCCTCCCAAAGTGTTGGGATTACAAGCATGAGCCACTGCACCCAGCCATACTTTCTTTTTTCTTTTTTTTTTTGAGATGGAGTCTTGCTCTGTCACCCAGGCTGGAGTGCAGTGGCGTGATCTCAGCTTACTGCAACCTCTATCTCCTGGGTTCAAGCGATTCTCATGCCTCAGCCTCCCAAGTAGCTGGAATTACAGGTGCGGGCCACCACACCCAGCTGATTTTTGTATTTTTGGTAGAGATGGGATTTTACCATGTTGGTCAGGCTGGTCCCGCCCACCTCGCTTTCCCAAAGTGCTGGGATTACAGCATGAGCCACCATGCCCTGCCTTATTCTACTTTTTAATGGTGGTTTTGATGAAGTTCTTAATTTTAATGTAACTCAATTTATCCATTTTTTTCCTTCGTGGCTAGTGTTTTTATATCTTGTTAAGGAATCTGCCTGCCTCCAATGCCATGAAGATATTCTCCCAAGTTTTTGTTTTTTCCTAGAAGCTGTATTATTTTGCTTTTCAATTTAGAGCTATAAATATTCTGCAACTGATTGCTATATATGATTTGAGGCAGGGGTCAAGATTCATTTTTCTATATGGATATGCAGTTGATCCAGCACCATTTGACAAGGTCATCCTTTCTTCACTGCACTGGAGCACCAGCTTTGTCATGAGTAAAGCAATTGTCTAGGTGGGAGTCTTTTTCTGGATGTTTCATTTCTTTTCCATTGGTCTGTTTCTCTACCCTTGAGAAAATACCACTCTATCTTAATTACTGTAATTTTACAATAAGTCCTGATACCAGGTAGTACAGGTCCTGCGGGTTTGTTCTGTTTCCTCAAGGTTGTCTTGGCTATTCTTGGTCTTTTGCATTTTTTTTTTTTTTTTTTTTTTTTGAGACGGAGTCTTGCTCTGTCGCCCAGGCTGGAGTGCAGTGGCCGGATCTCAGCTCACTGCAAGCTCCGCCTCCCGGGTTCGGGCCATTCTCCTGTCTCAGCCTCCTGAGTAGCTGGGACTACAGGCGCCCGCCACCTCGCCCGGCTAGTTTTTTGTATTTTTTAGTAGAGACGGGGTTTCACCGTGTTAGCCAGGATGGTCTCGATCTCTTGACCTAGTGATCCGCCCGTCTCGGCCTCCCAAAGTGCTGGGATTACAGGCTTGAGCCACCGTGCCCGGCCAGTCTTTTGCATTTTTATATAAATTACAGAATTACTTTGTCAGCTTCCAAGAAAAAATTGCCAGATTTTGATTGGTATTATACTAAATATGTAGATCAATTGGAGGAGAATGAACATCATTAACAATGTTGACTCTTTCGGTTCATGTCATGATATTTCCCTCCACTTATTTCAGTCCTGTTAATATTTAGTACTGCTCCACCTGTCTGCCCTCCAGGCTGGTGCTGGCCTCTGGAATGGACGAACTTTGGGTACACTTGGAGAAAGAACTCCAGATGTCACCTCCTACCCTCCATGGTTCTCTCCTTGACTGTGGCAAGGAGAGGTGGTGAAGGGAAGAGACCAAATAGGAATCAGAGGAAGGGAGGCTGCAGTAACCCACTGCACCTTGGTACAGGGTCCTGTGCTGGAGATGATTAAGTATGTAAGAAAAAATCACAAGGCTGGTTACAGTCATACTGGGTAGCAGACAATGGATGTAAAGGAGAAAGAAGCCTGGACACTTTGGCAAGAGGAGAGCTTAGTATGTGTGGATTGGACAGGACTGGTCCTAAAACTCCCTTCATCACAAAAAAGCTGCATGCCCCTGGAGAAGATTCCCGTCATTGGGCCTCTTTCCTCACCGTGAAATGAGAGGACTTGGACCTGATGCTCTGGATGCTTCCTTCAGCTCTGCCACTAGAACACTGGTACTGATGGAGGATGATGGCAAGAAGCTAGATTGAGTGTAAGTGTCTTGCCCTTTGCCCTGTCCCTCCAGGTGTAGTCTTTGAACTCTAACCATCCATGCACTCTTCCTTTCCACAGAACAGGTCCCTGTTTCAGGCTAACTTCATCCTGCTGGATGGAATTCCAGCCAATGTGATCCAAAGAGGGAAGCAGTACCAGGCTGCAGCCCTCGTCATGGTGAAGATGGAGCCTTCTGGGAAGCTGCTACCCATGGTCATCCAGGTGAGGGCCCTGGACCTCCCTGCCAACTCTTTGCTCTGTTCATTTTAACCTCTGCTCCCAGGACCCAGCCTCCTGGCTCTTGGCTCCCAAAGCTACCCCCACTGAGCGGGTCTACCTTGTGTTCAGTCACCCAGTGATGCTTGCTGTCTTTTCCTGACCTTCTTCACCTGGAACTACCTTCTGAGAGTCATAACGGCATCTCTTTGTTCTCATCCTGAGGCTACTCAACCTCTTTGTGACCTTTGAATCTACTGAATATTCCCTCTTAAACATGTTTTCTCCTTTTGGTTTTTATGATTTTTTTTCACTCCTATTGTTCACACAGTGAGTGGACAGGAATTGTCAGTTCTCATACATCCAGTTTCTCCTTCTTATTCTACTGTCCTGACTCAGACCCTCATGACATTTCTCCCAAAGCACTGTTAAGCTTACTTGGCTTCCTTCTACCATTCTCTCCTGCACTTAACCTATCATTGCATTCACAGGGCACCACAGATAGTGAGAGGCAGGTTGGAGGGGTCTTCATTCTTCCTACTACTTGGAAGGCAATAATCTTACATTAGCCATATGTTTCCCCCAGAACACCAGCATAGCGTCATCCATATGGGGGAGAGGTGAATAAATGCTTAATTCTTCCTCCTTCTGGCTCCCGCCTCCCAGCTTCAGCTCTCCCACCCCAATACTGTTCCTGCCCTCAGATCCTCTGCTTGCCTGGCTCCTGGCCAAATCCTGGATCTGAAACTCAGATTCCAACTGCACAAGCTCCGATACTATTTGCTGAACACTCATCTGGTAGCTGAAGTCATTGCTGTCGTCACCATAATGTGCCTCCCACATTTGCACCCTGTCTTCGAGGTACAAGCTCTACCACTCTCCATGTCCCAAAGCAACAACCCAACAGCTGCCTAGTTTTTAAGAAATCTAAGGCACCTGGGACAACATGTAAACAGAGCTGCTTGAAATTTCACAAACATCCATATGATATTGCAGCAAAGAATCTTCATGGCAATTTGTAAATGGAGGCAAGAGGAGGAGACAGATAATTGAGCCAGGGCCTTCAGCCTTATGATTGTATTTTTAATGTCTAAATTAATTTAATGTAAACTAATTATAGACTCACAGGCAGTTGTTAGAAATATTAAAGAGATCCCAGGTATCCCATTAGGTCAAGTCACTTAGCATTTATCCAGTACATGTTGTAGGGTGGTTCTCTGAAATTCTCTAGCAATGGGTCTCGAGTAGAGTAGGAAAACAAAAATAATAAGCAAAAGTGTTGCGTCTGCACTGGGAGATTTATCATTTATCATGAAAGACAGGCAGTACATGTGAGAAAAAACCAGAGAACAGTATCTGTGACACGGTTGGGATGTCTGTCCCTCCCATTCTCTTGTTGAAGTGTAATCCCTAATGTTGGATGTGGGGCCTGGTGGAAGGTGTTTGGATCATGGCTTCATGCTGTCCTCCCAATAACGAGTGAGTTCTCACTCTGAGTTCACACAAGATCTGGTTGTTCGAGTATGGTGCCTCCCCTCTCTCTCTTGCTCCTGCTCTCCTGCTCCCTCTCTCCATGTGACATGCCTGCTGTACTCCCCCTTCACCCTCCACCATGATTGAAAGTTTCCTGAAGCCTCACTAGAAGCTAAGCAGATGCCAACATGCTTCCTATACAGCCTGCAGAACCAGGAGGCACTTAAACCTCTTTTCTTAGTAAATTATTCAGTCTCAGATAATCCCTCCGTAGTGATGCAGAACAGACTAACACAATCTGGAAACAGAGTTTGAGATGAAGAGAAATAGCTGTAATCACTATAGTATCTATGGAGAATGTTCCACCACTAGTGGGGAGTCTTTAGGTAGAAGACCAAAGGGCAAGGCGAGCAGCCCAGCGGGTTTCTCATACCTGACCAAGGAGAGAGGTAGATAAAGACATTAGCATGGCAGTGACAGGTGGATGGAAGAGAAAAATCAAATACGTGGTGATGGGGGAAGAGTAGCTGCAGCATGCCTGTGTCCAAGATGGAATGGAGAACTTCTGTTGGAGATGGAAGCTCCTTATCACCTAGGAGCCTACAGGGGGCATGTTGTACTTCCCTAGAAATACTGACATTTTATAAAACAGTGAGTCTAGTATCTATTGCCAGGCAGAAAGCAGCATAATAAAACTTGGGCTTGCTTAAACATGTTTTCAAAATCTTTATGACATTTTATATATAGGAAAAGGGAGCAAAATGATATAAGCTTATGAACCAGAGCAGTTGTCAGAAACAGTAAAGTCGGGAGAGGGAGCAGTTTGGGGACAAAGATGAGGTGTTCTGTTTTAGAGGCATGGAGTTCGAAGAGTTGGCAAGAGATGCAAGTGAGCGCCTGGCAGGCAGGACAGCTGGATTGTGTTTCTGCTGCTGGTCACCACCTCCACCCCCAAATCTGGCTGTTACTAGTTGTGGTGCCTCTGGGTCTGAGAGAACATAGATAAGACAGGCAGTAATATGGAATCTTCGATTTGATTGCCTTCATGCTGTCTTTGCCTCACCATCCGATGCCCAGGTTGAATAGGTTAAGGCCACCCTCACAGCTCAGAATCCCTCTTCACTAGTTCAGCCCCCTGTACACCCGTCTCCCTCACATAACCATTTCCTCCCATGGCAGACAGCTGAGTTGTTGTCAAGACACAAAGAGGGCTAAGCCTGCAAATATAAGTTACCTGTGCAGGCTGTGGACTCAGACTGTTGGAGTCCGAGTCCTCAGTCCTTAACAGGTATGTGTTTCAGGGTCCTCATCTCTGAATGGAGATAACAGAATTTACATTGTGAGATTGTTAAGGGATTAAATGACAGGACAGACAGCGTGACTCAGGATGAGTTGGAGAGATGTGTGAGTTCTTCCTATTACTATGTAGCAATATGTTGTTATTGTTTATCCTTGGGTATGTTGTTATTTTTTATTTATTTTTTTTACCTTCAGCCAACTCACTCCATGTTGTTTTATTAGTTGCTTTCCCTTGGTATCTGCCCACCTCATCTGGACTTTGGGTTTTCTGTGACATTCACCATCTTTCCATGGAGTTTTCCAGGTTCAAGCCAATGCGAGCTGCTTTGATATCTTTGCCTCAAGAGTATTCTTTGGGCCGGTCCCGTGTGTCTGGCATTAAAGACCTTAGATAGATGCCAACAGCATAAACCCTGCATATGAACCAGTTGAAAATGAAGACAAAATAGTTCTTTTTTTGTATTTTTAGAGACAGGGTATTGCTCTGTCACCTAGGCTGGAGTGAAGTGGCACAATCACAGCTCACTGCAGCTTCAGTTTCCTGGGCTCAAGGGATCCTCCTGCCTCAGTCTCCTGAGTAGCTTAGTCTATAGGCATACACCACTACACCTGTGTACCTGGCTAATTTTTAACTTTAATTAGGGACAGAGGCTTGCTGTGTTGCCTAGGCTGGTCTCGAACTTCTGGCCTCAAGTGATCCTCTGCCTTGGCCTCCCAAAGTACTGGGATTATAGGTGTGAGCCACCATGTTTGGCCCAAATAGGTTAGGAATAAAAGAAATGAATGTGAGAATCAGGGACCCCTTTTTTAAGGTCCAAAGAAAAGCAGGAAAGAGGAAACCTAATAGTATCTAACTGGGGCCAGGAAGATTGGTGAGAATAGCTTGGCTTTGCTCCACGAATTCTGACTGAAGCACCATACTCAACACCACTTCAATATAAACAATAAGAGTGGGATGATCAGAGATTGGAGGAACAGCTTTGAAAATAAGCAGAGCTAGTTTAAGCTATAAGGGTGTGAATGATAGAGGAGGTATAAAAAAAAATCAAAAGTTGAGGGCTATTCTAAAGGGCACCTTACTCAAGGTGGAAATAATAGAGGTAATGATGACAGCTGCTATTTGAGGACTTGTGTACCTGAGGCACTGTGCTAAAAATGCTCTCTCTACATCACAGACATAAACATCACCACAGTGCCTGAAATAAGAGACCTGGTTATCACCTCCCACTGACAGATAAGGAGATCAACATTCAGAGAGTTTATTACATTGCCAATATCAAAGCTAGAGGTGAGCATGGACTCAAATCCAGGTCAGTCTGACTCCAGGGCACGACGCACAGGGAAGTCGGAGAGCGTGAGCGAGCGGGGAGCGTGAGTGTCAGGGCAGCAGGAGACCAGCCTGTCAAGGCAACAGCAGTGAGGAAAGCATCGAGAGGGAGAAGACTCCGTGCTATGTGACGGCCCCTACCAGGAAAGAGCCAAGCATCTGGTCTCCACCAACCACCCCTCCAATCTCCTCCTTGCCAGCTCCTGATCCCCCATATCTACTACAATCATGGAAACCAACACCTGGACCTGACCCCAACGTATCTCAGAAGGTGGAGTATTTGCTAAGATAAGAAGGGAATGGGCACGAGGCCACCTAATCATCCAACAATCTCTGTCCTGCCAGCTTCAAGATCTCCCAGACCAACCTGTGTGAACGTCCTGACCTTAAGCCCCTGAGCCCTATCCCTTTTATAGCCATGACTTTAAATATGAAAACCCCATCTGTGAACCCCCTTTATATATGTCCTCATTCTCCAGCTGTGCCTCCGTCCCTCAAGACCTGTCATCTCTTGTGTCCCAGGCAGTAGCACAGGTGGAGGGGGCCCATGTGCAGTTGTTCCATCAGGCACGGCCTCAGCTGACCTGCTGCTCCCTCTGTCGTCCTGATGACCTGGCTGCCCATGGCCTGCTGGACTCCCATGTGCTCTCCATGACCATGATGCTAGGCCCTGGAGATTATTGCCCGGGTGGGTGAGGGAGCTGAGAAGTGGGGCATGGTGGAGGAGGGAGCTCTGGCCTGAGGCCCAGCATGGGGCAAAAAGCAAAGTGAAAATGAGAAGTCCAGACAGGAGGAGCAGAGAACTCAATCATGGGAGAGACGAGAAGAGTGAGGACACAGTGGTGGTTCTGAAAATGAGGAGACTGGGATGGGGGCAAGAGGAGGAGGAGTGAGGGAGCTGTCGGGGGAGACAGAGGTCTGGGACAAAAACAGGATTTTGTGAGGAAGCATGCAGCAACTGTGGAATTCCTGGAACTAAGGACCCACATCTCCTTCCACGAGACACTAATGTGTTAGAGGGTTGGGATGTCCTGAAGCATGTCTGTGAGGTCCTCCAGATACACTGAAAGCGTTGGGCAGATGTCACAGAAAGAGGAGGACAGGTCAGAAGCCGCGGCCTCCTGCTCTCTGAGGCTCAGTGCCTTCTCCCCTGGGCAGGTGTGTGGATCGTCCACCTCTTCTACCAAAAGGGATGATATGGTGAGGTGGATGCTGAGCTGCAGCCTGGCATCAGGAATCATGGAGTGGGGCTGGCCAGGACCAGGACTGAGGTAAGATCCGTCTCAGAGACTGGAGCTCCTAGGAGGACTCTGCAGGACCCTTCCCATGCCTGCCCATTCTGGACAGGACCCCAGCCTCTTCATCACACCCCCTCCCCCACCCAGGAAAGCATTTGCATCCCATCCCACCTCCCCAGACTCAGGAATAGTTCTAGAGACCTGAGGACCGTCCTCCTCGGAGACCCTGGCCATCAACCCCTACCCCCACCCCACCCCAGTCACAGATGCCCCTGAGCTGCCATATCCTCGGGGCCCCAACAAGGCTGGAGCCACAGCCATGAGAGGTCTGCCAGTCCCTGCTGAGCCCATGTTCTCACTTCACGTTTGCTTTTTACCTAAGATGCAAACAGGGAGATTTTCCCTTCCAAAGCCCCAGAGTGACCCCACCTTGCTTTCCCCCCTTCGCCTCCTGCCTGCTACTGTCCAGCACACATGAAGGGCCCAGGCCTGCTGCACCCCCACGGCAGTGCAGGGCCAGCTGTATATGCTTTGCTTTCAACCTAGACTCAAGCCCTGACGCTTGGGTCGGTTCTTTGGGTCAGCCCCTCTCCCTAGGATCTAGTGCTACCTTTTGTCCCCTGCCCACTGCATTTTTTATTGATGCAGAAGAAACTAGCCCTTCTTGGCCCTCCCAGGTTGTTTTCCTCTCTCTCACACACATGGCCAGCCGGATTGTTTCAAGATCACTCCTTCAGCTTCCTCTCCCTTCATCCTTCAGAGCAACACCTTGAGTCCCACCTTTGCCTCTGTGGAAAAATGCAAACACCCACTGGCCAGGCCCTGGGATACCCATATCAATAAACCCCCTGCCTTAAAGGGGAGTCTCGCCCTGGAGACCTGGGGCTACACCACCCTACCTATCCCACCCCACCCTTTGGGTCCTTCAAGAACCAAACTTTCTCCAGATTTTTTAAAAATTTTATTATTTTTATTTATTTCTGAGATAGAGTCTTGCTCTGTTGCCCAGGCTAGAGTGGCATGGCATGATCTTGGCTCACTGCAACCTCCACCACCCGGGTTCAAGCGATTCTTCTGCCTCAGCCTTCCGAGTAGCTGGGATTACAGGCATCCGCCTGTAATTTTTATATTTTTAGTAGAGATGGGGTTTCACCATCTTGGCCAGGCTGGTCTGGAACTCCTGACCTCGTGATCCACCCGCCTTGGCCTCCCAAGTGCTAGAAGTTACAGGCATGTCCACCGCCAGCCACTTTCTCGAGTTTTCTAGGTTCTTTCTTTTAGGCAACCCGTGCCCCAAAAGAACATTATTTCTCTCCTTGGCTCTCATCTCCTCGTGAAAAGCCACATTAGAGAATGTACAATACATATTTACATATAAGCTTTAACCTCTCATTCCTCATTTCTCTTGTGCCATATTTAATACTCTTTTTACCTCACCATTCTCTCATCACCTGAGGAAAAAGCAATGTGATGAAATTTAACTTTCATTTTAAGTTCAGGGATACACATGCAGGTTTGTTATATAGGTAAACTTTTGTCACAGGGGTTTGTTGTACAGATGATTTTGTCACCCAGGTATTAAGCCTAGCGCCCATTAGTTATTTTTCCTGATCCTCTCCCTCCTCCCACCCTCTGCCTTCCTGTAGGCCCCAGTGTCTATTGTTCCCCTCTATGTGTCCATGTGTTCTTGTCATTTAGCTTCCACTTATAAGTATTTGTTTTTTTTTGTTCCTGCATTAGTTTGCTAAGGATTGTGGCCTCCATATCCATTCATGTTCCTGGAAAGGACGTGATCTTGTTCTTTTTTACGGCTGCATAGTAGTCCGTGGTGTATCTGTACCACATTTTCTTTATTCAGTCTACCATTGATACGCATTTAGGATGATTCCATGTCTTTGCTATTGTGAATAGAGCTGCAGTGAACATAGGCATGCATGTGTCTTTATGATGGAAAGATTTATATTCCTTTGGGTATATACCCAGCAATGGGGTTGCTGGGTCAAATGGTATTTCTTTTGTTAGGTCTTTGAGGAATTGCTGCACTGTCTTCCACAGTGGTTGAACTGATTTACACTCCCACCAACAGTGTATAAGCTTTCTTTTTTTCTCCACAACCTTGCCACCATCTGTTATTTTTTGACTTTTTAATAATAGCCATTCTGACTGGTGTGAGATGGTATCTCATTGTAGTTTCGATTTGCATTACTCTAATGATCATTGATGTTGAGCTTTTTTTCATATGATTGTTGGCTGCATGTTTTGTCTTATTTTGAAAAGTGTCTGTTCATGTCCTTTGCCCACTTTTTAATGGGGTTGCTTTTTACTTATAAATTTAAGTTCCTTGTAGATGCTAGGCATTAGATCTTTGTCAGATGCGTAGTTTGCAAAAATTTTCTCCCATTCTGTAGGTTGTCTGTTCACTCTATTAATAGTTTCTTTTGCCATGCAGAGGCTCTTTAGTTTAATTAGATCCTGTTTGTCAATTTTTACTTTTGTTGCAATTGCTTTGGTGTCTTCATCATGAAATCTTTGCCCATTCCTATGTCCAGAATGGTACTGCCTAGGTTATCTTCCAGGGTTGTTATAGTTTGGGATTTTACATTTAAGTCTTTAATTCGTCTTGAGTAAATTTTTGTATATGGTATAAGGAAGAGATCAGTTTCAATCTTCTGCCTATGGCTGGCAAGTTGTCCCAGCATCAGCCAAGTGGTTTTTTCATCCCTGCTATATTCAATCCAAATGTATTTAACCATGGAACAATTATTTTTATTTTACTGTAATATTTTACTAAACAAATACTGTCATTTAAAAGGAGTATTTAACAGAGCATGCATGTCAGACTTATTCGAGGAAATTTGAAAGCAAATACATATGTACGTCTCTCAGCTTCCATTGATGGGGTAGAAGAAGGAAGTAAATGATATCAAAGACACTTAGAAAGTATCTGTGAAACCAGCAATTCCAATGAAATCTAGGTAACAGTAATGGCACAGTCCTGACACATGAATTACAAAATTGCATGGGATTTCAAATGGTAGCACTTAGGTGATGATCCTTTAAATGAAAAATTGCCACCCAATTTTACTATATTTTACTCAGATTTATTTCCTTTGTGTCTATCATCTAATATACAAACCAATATAAGCCACTACAATATACATATGATTAATAAGGTAGACCTTCCAGTCTATAACGGCAAGGATCAGTGTTTTGAATAGTAAAGAGCAAAGTGGCTAATATTTCTCACTTATCACTTCAGGGGTCTTGGTTCATGCGGGTTCTACAGGACGTATCTTTCTCTACATTGTTCATTTTCAACTAGGAATGAGTGTTGTTTATTGAGATTTAAAATTTTTCTTTTAAGGACTAGGATGGTCCTCTTTTTGACTAAGTGACCTTGAGCAAGCTATTTAATCTCTGAGTTCTGGTTTCCTTATATCTAAAATGGATGTAATACATGCCCCCACCACACACATTCAGATTTTTGAGACCAAATAAATAATGAACGTGACATTGTTGAAGTGTGGGTAGTACAGTCGGCGTAAGATGATTGCTATCATATGCCCCACTCTACAAAAACTACCTCCCCAATAAGCATGTGGAATAGCAGAGCCCAGGCCCTGCCACATGATGGAAGTCATTAAATTCTCTGAGGCAAATCTCAAACGTAAATTGAGGGGAATGGAATAGCTGATTTCCAGTTTCCTTACTGTCTTTGACATGAGTCTAGGACCTCTCTATTTCTCTACATTATAATCCAGATACCTAAAACCACTGCCTAAAACCTCCTGGGAATAGGAGGCATGCTTTTGTATTTTTTTTTTTAAATTTATTATACTTTATGTTATGTTCTAGGGTACATGTGCACAACGTGCAGGTTTGTTACGTAGGTATACATGTGCCATGTTGGTGTGCTACACCCATTAACTCATCATTTACATTAGGTATATCTCCTAATGCAATCCCTCCCCTTCCCTGCACCCCTTCCCTGTACCCACAGGAAGTGATGTTCCACTTCCTGTGTCCAAATGTTCTCATTGTTCAATTCCCATCTATGAGTGAGAACATGCGGTGTTTGGTTTTCTGTTCTTGCGATAGTTTGCTGAGAATGATGGTTTCCAGCTGCATCTGTGTCCCTACAAAGGACATGAGCTCATCCTTTTTTATGGCTGCACAGTATTCTATGGTGTATATGTGCCACATTTTCTTAATCCAGTCTGTCATTGATGGACATTTGGGTTGGTTCCAAGTCTTTGCTATTGTGAATAGTGCTTCAATAAACATATGTGTGCATGTGTCTTTATAGCAGCATGATTTATAATCCTTTGGGTATATACCCAGTAATGGGATGGCTGGGTCATATGGTATTTCTAGTTCTAAATCCTTGAGGAATCGCCACACTGTCTTCCACAATAGTTGAACTAGTTTACAGTCCCACCAACAGTGTAAAAGTGTTCCTATTTCTCCACATCCTCTCCAGCACCTGTTGTTTCCTGACTTTTTAATGATTGCCATTCTAACTGGTGTGAGTTGGTATCGCATTGTGGTTTTGATTTGCATTTCTCTGATGGTCAGTGATGATGAGCATTTTTTCATGTGTTTGTTGGCTGCATAAATGTCTTCTTTTGAGAAGTGTCTGTTCATATCCTTTGCTCACTTTTTGATGGGGTTGTTTTTTTCTTGTAAATTTGAGTTCTTTGTAGATTCTGGATATTAGCCCTTTGTCAGATGCATAGATTGCAAAAATTTTCTCCCATTCTGTAGGTTGCCTGTTCACTCTGATGGTGGTTTTTTTTTGCTGTGCAGAAGCTCTTTAGTTTAATTAGATCCCATTTGTCCATTTTGGCTTTTGTTGCCATTGCTTTTGGTATTTTAGACATGAAGTCCTGGCCCATGCCTATGGCCTGAATGGTATTGCCTAGGTTTTCTTCTAGGGTTTTTATGGTTTTAGGTCTAACATTAGTCTCTAATCCATCTTGAATTAATTTTTGTATAAGGTGTAAGGAAGGGTTCCAGTTTCAGCTTTCTACTTA